TTTTTTAAAAAATGTGTATCTCAGTATATAGTCCATCTCTATTTGCTTACTCATGCAGTTTGTATGGAAAGTTTCAAGGAAACTTACATTTTTTAAAAATTTGCACTGGCATATGTTTTTCCTGAGTGATAGGTAGCAGTCTCTTTATGTCCCTTAAAGGGACTATCCGAGTGCTTTGCTAGATTTACGAAGTCCCCTTACAGAGGACACCTGAGTGCAAAGGGTTAAGTAACTTGCCTAAGATTACAACAGCTAGTAGGTAGAGAAGCCAGGATTCAAACCCAGGTCAGAATGACTCCAGCCCATGCTCTCAGCTTCTCTGCCCTGTCAGTTGAGCCTTGTAAAACGGGGCTTTGGTTTATAGCTAGGGTTTTGCTCAGAATCCCTGTGTCCTCTTTGCTCTTCTGAGCAGGTTCACAGCCCACTTTAGTCCTCTGCCATAAAGACTATGCTGCATTGCTTCAGCTCCTTAACACCTTTCTGAGACTTTCACATCTACAGCATCTTGTGAAAAGGGCATTATAGGTGCTTGCTGATGACTTTTTGAAAGCTTTTTTTGGAAAGCTTTTTTCTTCTTTTAAAGAGATGAGGTTTTGTCATGTTGCCTGGCTGAACTTGGACGGGGCTTGAGTGATTTTCCTGCCTCAGTCTTCTGTTGAAAGATCATTTTAATCCTTATACCAACCCCTTAAATAGGATGTTTCCTCTCCGGTTAATGGACAGGGAAACGGACACTCAGAGATTAAATTGACTTGCTCATGGTCATACTTGCTAGTTGTTTACAGAGTTGGTGAGAGTCTATACCCCGTGGATTACAGTAATTTTTTCCATTGCACAATATTGCTTATCTTATTACTGTAATTGTTCGTTTAACAGCTATTGTTTAACTACTTATTGATCACCTAATATATGCTGAGGATAAAGCATTAAACAAAAGAGACACACATCTCTGTGCTCTTTTAACTTATGTTGTTGTTTTAGTTCCTCACCAACCTTGACTGGTGCTTGAATGGTTTTTTAAAGTTTAAGGTTTTTAGTCTTAACATTTCATAAGGTATTAAAGCATCTAATTTCAGGACACTTTCTAAGTTACATCTTTTTAGTTTTTCTAAGTTCATACCTTAATTTGTTAACATTTTATTTATATTTTCTATTTCAGAAATCAAAAGCTTTAATTTCTTTAAGGCATATACAAAGTGGCTCAATTTAGGTGTGATGGTTTCTTTAGTAAAAATAATCAAATATCCAAAATATTTTATTTGATTCTTTGTCATCGATTTTAACCATCATGTCATCTATTTTTACTATAAAAATCTGGCAGTGGCCCTTGGCCAAAAGCAGTCATATTCTGATGACTGTGTTTATGAACATTAAAATGGTCTATTTTTGTTTCTCTTTTGTCCGCTATCCAAAATGTAATTGTATATTTTTCCCTTGCACAGATACCAGTATTTCAAAAGATATCCTTAAAAATTTTAAAGAATTTCAGTTTCTTTAGAGATTTCTGGAATTTTATATCTGGGAAAACATTTGTGATATTTTATCTGTTGCAGTGAGACTTTGTTCCAACTTATAGAACAGTGTTTTATTTCTTTTACTTTTCCCTCATTTAGAAAGTATCAGATATACTTGTCTCATGGATAAGAATGTTATAAACTAAAGACATTTCAATAATTTAGTTTCCCTGATTTTTTTCCATGTAAAGCAGTACCTACAAAATTGAGCCACAAAAGTAGTCCTCTGTCACTGAAAGATATTTTCTCCTAAATTCTTGGCAGCTTGACATATAAATTAGAGTGGAGGAATTCACTGTTATTATCAAAAAGCTTTTGATTACTTATCTTTATCCTTTCCATTTTCTAAGCATCTTTCATTTGAGTAGGGACTCGAACCCTGAATCATGTTCTTTTTAAAGGGTATTCTGTGATTCCTTCTGGTCAGCTTTTCTAGCATTTTTCCTTTTGTATCTTGTAGCAAGAAACTTGAATTGATTTCTTGGAATTACCCGAAGTGTTTATTAATTGATCTTTCTGCTTTTCTACCTGTTCTAAAAATAATCAGCTAGATCACATTGTCTGGTTTATTTTGGAAGAAATATTATTTGGATGAAGCCATTACACCAATGCTGTAGCACTAAAAAACACTTGCCATCCTGAATGAGGACAGTTGTCATTTCCTATAAAGTGGATCAGCAGTTTTAGGTTTAAAGTCATTAGAACAACACCTACTCTGTCTTCTAAATGCTACGTGGGTGTTTCTTATTTTTATCATCAGAATGGCAATTCCCTGAGAGCAGAGATTTTGTTATTGAATCAGCATATAAAAACGTCATAGTAAATGCATATTGTCTAGAAATTCCATTGCTAATCTTGTTTTCACACAGAGTTTAATCTCTAGGCTAGGCATCCCAAATCTATTCCGTTTTATTTTCCTGTTTAGTAATTCTGGAGGTCAGTTTGAAGATTAGGTACAATGAGATTTCACTCTAGCGGAGAGGCAGAATGATGGGAAAACCAAACTCTCCTTGATTGCAGGTTTTCATAGAATCTAGTTTTGGAACAAAAATCTTAGTAATTTTAGTCTGACCCTTGAATCTCACATGAGGCCAAGAGAAGCTCCATGACTCCCTCCCAAGTTCAAGTCACACGTGGTTTGATGGTGCATACTAAAAAGTTTTTTGTACATTCTAGAAAGGTTTTTGTGGTAGACCTCCTGAAAGGAGCCTAGGCTTGGTAAGGCTTACAGATCTCTCCCTTCCCTAAAAGACTCTGAGTCTGTGTTCCTTTCCCATTTGAGGAATACTCCAAATTCTCAATACTCCAAAGCAAGAGTCCTCTTGCCAATTTCATTCACCCCTGGCAGCTGCCAATAGTGGTGTGCTGGGGAGACCCGTGTGGAAAGACTCCCAGCATGCTGTTAGCAAGAGCTGCCTGTGCGTTGGCTAGGATGGTTCTGGGCCAGGTGTAAGAAGGAGTAGTGTAGAGGGTTTCCCGGTTCATGCAGCTAGAGGGACCAGACTGGCGTCTTCCCTCTCTAGGACCTTCTTCTGCCGAGACTGCCTTCTCTAGTGGGCGTCATGGCCCATCTCCCTGGACAGCCACTTCCTCCTAGCTCAGTGCGTCTTCCCCGCAGCCCTAGACTAGATTGCACGCCTCCTATCATTTGTTCTCTATTTTGCTTTCATGGCATTTTTTAGCCTTCTTTTGTTTTTTCAAAATAGAGATGGGGTCTCACTATGTTGCCCAGGCTGACCTCAAACTCCTGAACTCAAGTAATCCTCCCACCTCAGCCTCCCAAAGTGCTGAGGTTACAGGCATGGGCCACCACGCCTGGCCTTGAGCCACCCATATGGCCTCATTTTTGGCTCTTTGTAAAGGCCTCTTTCTGTACATTTTTGATGCTATTGTTCTTATAGACTAAGCTCCATATGGGCAGGGACCATATTGCTTGTGTCCTTTGATCTAGCTGAGCTTCTGGAAAACTGTTCGCAATTGTTTGTTGAACGAATCTCCCAAATGCAGCATTGGAGCCCTGCTTCTGAGCTGAGGCAAGGCATGAGCATGTGGCCAGTTTCTAATTGCTGTTTTGATGCAGGGCAAGGTGTCTGCTCACATAATTCAAACAATTGATTGCATTAACATTTAAAAAACTGAAAGTGTAGTGTAATGATTTCTTTAAAAGCCTGTTAAAATTGTACACACCGAAATAGCCAGATCAGTCCCCACATCCAGATTCATACCTGCTTCGCCTGCCTGGCCTCCCAGGCTTGCTTTTGCTTTGCCCTCACTCTCTGCAGAAAGTCTTCCCAAACTGGCCCCTGCCAGCGAACGTCATCAGAGCTAGTGAGACACGCACAGGGACGACCTTGTTACTCACTTGCTCTGTCGTGGGTGCTTTGGCACTTCCATCGGTGCTGCCTCCCACCTTCGATCGTTGGGCCCTGTGGGGATGCTGACCTCGCAGCCCCAGGGGTAACCTGTTCCCATCTCTTGCCCCCCCCCCTTCTGAGTTGCCATGTAATGCCTGGGTCTGTGCTTTTCCCCACACTGGGTTCTGATAAAAGATGTTAACGGACTGGACTGAAAACGGAGGTGATAATCACTGTTAACTTGAGAACCAGTTTTGGATTGCTGAGGTTGGTAGCTTCTTACTGGCGAAAACAATTTGATTCTACTGTTTAAAAAAGAATTTGTGAGAAGCAATAAGGAGAGCTGTTAAAATAATACATAGAAATTGTGTGTGTGTGTGTGTGTGTGTGTGTGTGTGTGTGTGTGTGTGTGTGTTTGTGTGTACACCAGGTTGCAGCAGGGTGACTCTAAAGGGGATAGAAACAGAGTGCACATCTTTGGATGTCCTGAACTATGGTTCACAGCTTCAGTAGAGGGGCAGCTGATGGAAAAGGCACTGCAGTCTTCACTCATGTTGAACAGGGCACTCTACGCCAGGAAGCACAAGTCCCTGGCTTCCTTTTTCAATGTAGTGAAATTAGGATCTTCTCTGATATTTACACCCTAAGATGCTCCCTGTCCTCTTTAGTCTTTAGTTTTTGTTTTTCCCTTCTTCCTCCCAAATGCCTTTTCTTTTTCTTTTTCCTCTTTGTGTCGGAGGCTCATTGCTATCCAGGCTGCAGTACAGTGACATGCTCACGGCCACTGCAGCCTCAACCTACTGGACTCAGGCAATCCTTCCACCTCAGCCTTCCAAGCAGCTGGAATCACACGTGTGAGCCCATACCCGGCTAATTTTTGGATTTATTGTAGAGACGAGGTCTCGCCCAGTTGCCCAGGCTAGTCTTGAACCCCTGGGCTCAGGTAGTCTTCTTGACTTGACTTCCCAAAGTGCTGGGATTACTGGCATAAGCTGCCGTGCCCAGCCCAAATGCTTTTTCCTGCTCGCCTAATGGTTTGGGTTACTTCCCTAACGAAAATGTCTTCTTATGTTCAGATGCAATTACCTCTGCAACTGATTTATTTATTTATTTATTTTTGTCTTTAGCTCAGCTCCAAACCGGCTTTGGAAAGTAGAGAAGAAAATCCAGTCTGCTTTTTGAGGAACACTGGACAGCCGAATAAATGCAGGTATGTAGATTTGCATATCTTTCAAAAAGGAAACTATCTGGCTTTTAAAAAGAATAATGAAACATTGATCTTGAGCCTGTAGGATCATCCGTATTGTTACCTTTAAGTTAAAAATGTTGACATTTGTATTTATTCCTAATGCTGAGTATAGCAGTTAAAAAAAAAAATCTGAGTACAAAAGTACAGGAGGTATAGAGTAAAAGTTAAAGTTCCCTTAGACTCTCTCCCAGATGGTCACCACTGTTAACAATTTATTGCATGTTCCTCCAGATTTCGATATGCATCTGTATAATCTGAAGGACAATAAAATACACAGGCTGTTTTCACGTTGCAGTATGTTATGCATGTCATCCTTTTAACAGCTGCAATAGTCTTCCTTTGTGTTGAGATGTCTTATTTTATGTAGTGAGACCTCTCCTGTTGGACATTGTCAGTTGAATTTTTTTCTCTCAAACAGTGTGGCAAATTGTGAGTATATAATTATGTACACTTGCTTATCTCCTTAGGATTAAAGGTCATAGCACTATCCTTGAATTCTTCTCCCATAGAGATGTCCATAAAGAATCTCAGGGACAAAGGTTTACCTTACGTGGCGAAGGTGGCTTTTGGCTACTCTGTTTTCCATCTCGGTTTTTCCATGTGGAACGGGGTTGAGGTTTCAGTGCTGGATTTCCAGCGGTCTTGCCTGTTGATCTGAACTTAAAGGTGAATTATGAACTTAGTCTTTCAGCCTGGTTTCCAGAGGTTTCTTGTTTTCAGATTTATTTTGGAGATTAAACAATTACAACGGAACACCTCTCAGTTTGTAGCACTGAGGCGTATCTAGTTCATGTCCTGCTATTAAGCATCTCATCTCACCAGGGCCGCTAATAGACTAAGTGCATGAATTGGGGAAGAGAACTGTGACTGCTGTCTCCCCTGTAGAACCTCTCTAGTTCTGGGAGCTTCCTTAGGTCATCCCACAAGCACCTGCTGTGTGTAAGCCTCTATTCCTGCTGGGGATACAAGGAACTCACAGCACATGGCAAGTGAGAGAAAGACAGGCAGATGCATGGGTAAGATGGTCGTGCTTCCTGTGGTGAGTGCAGTGGGATGCATTTGGGGGCTGAGAAGAGAGGACCCCCAGCTTAGACAATAGGGTGGAGGTTCAGAGAAGGCTTCCTGGAGGAGGTGATGTCTCGGCTGAATAAAGAAAGTGGAAGTCTACCCTGAAAAGGATGAGGTGGGAGGGTATTCCTGTAGAAGAATCCTTGTGAGTGAAGGCAGGCGGGCAAGAGACAGCCCCAGGGAGAGGAAGGTAGAGGAGCGGGATGGCCTTGCCTCGAGCATGGCGTCAGAAGCTTCGAGTGACAGAAGTGAGGCAGTGAGGCTGGCTGTCCAGGGGATGGAAGCCTCTGCTTCAGAGTTTGAGAATTGGCCTGTCGCTGAGAGGGAAGCCATGGTACAACCTGGTATGTATCACAGAGACATCACTCTCGGATTTAAGTGAAGGCTGGCTTGGCAGGCAGAAGGCAGTGGGAGTGTGGAGTCCGGGAAATGCATCTGCAGGCTGCTGGTTGGGGCAGGGAAGGAGGGAATGTGGAGGGCTTTCCCTGGTTTCTCTCTTCCTTTCTGGCCTTGCCCACGGCTCAGTGGCTGCAGTTGGGTTTTGGGCCCTCGTTGCTCCCCTTTGAGAGTTGTCCTTTGAATGACTGGCTTGCGAGCTTCTCACCAGCAGGTCCTGACTTTCCCTTAGCAAAGCTTCCTCCTGCTCTGTCCTACCGCCTGTCAGAGCTCCATTCAGTCATTGTCACGGCTCTTCACGGGCTATGTGAACGTGAATCCGCAGTCATTTTGTGGGCACTGTCTCAGGCGGGGATGTGAAGGCAGACAGGACACGGCTCATGCCCTCACCTCGCTTGCCGTTTAGTGGGAGAGAAACAAAATCGAAACACTAGGATTCTTCCCATAGGTCTGTTCACAGGTTATATGATTCCAGCGGAAGTAGCAGCAGAATTAGTAGCTCACAATCAGTCCTTCGATAGCATTGCCTCCAGAATAGGCCACACTTTTCAGTGACAAGTGTGTGCAAATAGAAAAAATAAAGTCAATCCATGTCTAAAATCACTCTGTTTTTGTAGGTATGGTCTGACTGTAATTCATTAATTAGTATGCATGATTAATTATTTTCCTGTTTTCCAGTTTTGCCTCTCGTAAGCTCTGACATGTTTGGTTCTCAGGAAGAGAACCTCTCGCCCAGGGCTAAGTCTTTCTGCTTGCTTGCCTCCGTGACACATGTGCCCTAAGCACACAGAGTGACCGCACAGTCTTGTTTCTCCCCCTGACAGTATCTAAACATCAAAGAGGACTGCAATGCCATGGCTTTCTGCGCGAAAATGAGGAGCTCCAAGAAGACCGAGGGGAGTCTGGAGGCCCTCGAGCCAGGCGTGGAAGTACTCTTCTATCTGCCGGACAGGGAGGCCCTCCGGCTGGGCGGTGGGGAGTATACCGCGGAGGAGCTGTGCATCCAGGCCGCTCAAGAGTGCCGTGAGTACTGGCAGCTGCCTGGAACTTGGGGGTTTTGTTGGCAGACCGCCCCAGAAGCAGATCTGGGGTCTCCACCCCAGTGGCTCTGCTGAACACACAGAGGGGTGGGCTCTGAAGTCAGAGGCTCCGCGCCTCCTCTGCCACCGCCACTTGCTTGTATGCGGCCTTAGGCTGGTGACGTTAATTCTGACAGTTTCACCTGTCACTTTCTTCATGTGTAAAATAGCTTATTTCTGCTTTATCCCTACTGAGCAGTAGGATACCAGAGGATGAGGCTTCTGGAGAGGCTTAATTCTCATTCTGCCACACCTGCGCGGTTGGAATAGCATCAGCCCTGGAAGAGGTGGTGCCCTTAGCACGCGCTACTAGCTCCACAAGCAGCATCTCTCAGTCTCTTGATAATCATTTGAAGCTTCTGCGAAGTTTGACCCATCTGTGTGCCGCCACACCTTGCCCTCCCGGTGTGATGCTGAGTTGGAGTGAGAAGCTGAGTGTAGCTTTGTGGCTTGGTCAAGTTGCCAAGTTGTGAAAAGGACAGTGAGACTGTCAACAACAGAATCCAGTTTTTAAAAGTGAGGCTTCTCTTCTTTAGAGTTAGCTTATTGTCCTCAGAAGGTGGGAAACTAAAATGACTAACAAATAAAGCCCCTTATATTGTCCTTTGAACTTGGGGACACTGGCAGTTCTTGCCTACCTAAATTTAAGTGACAGGCAAGCTAAGTCATGGAAGCTTAGTCACAATATAATCCACTTAGATTGTGGTGATTATTGTACAACTCAGTAAATATACGAATATTGGTTGAATTATATACTTAAAATGGGTGGATTTTATGGTATATAAATTATATCTCAATAAAGCTGTTTTAAAAAGATCAAATCAACTCATTTTATGGTCATGAAGTAACTAGCTCTGATGCCAGACAGCCTGGGCCACATTTTGCTTATAGCATCTGTAATCCTCAGAGCAACTCTCTGGGGACAGTGTATTTATTTCAAGAATCACCTACTGTGGTAGTAATACAACTTGTTCAGAAAACTTATTTTCTTCCCTATATATGTCTTCCTGCCTAAAATACTTCATATGCCAGAGTTACAATAAAAGGGGAGGATTCTTGTTATAGGGAAGAGCATAGTAGATGCTGACCAATGGAACAGAACATGGGAGAAAGTGGACTGAGCTGAGGATTACTGTGGGAAAATGCAGTAGTAGCTTAAAGTTATTTTGACTAGGCGGCAATGTGTACAAATAACCAGCTTTAGACAGCAGCTTTAAATGGATTTGTAATTAGCAGAACAACTAGATGTAAATCAGTGGTTCCAAAGTATTTTTTAAGGCTTCGTTTTGTTGTTTTGCTTTCCTTCCTTTGGTTTATAGTGTTTCTTCTGTTAGCCAAGCTTCTTGCCATCAGCACAGCTGGTATGAACCTCACTCGGTTTGTGAGCAAGCATCGTTTCTGCAGAGTTGTGCGGCTACAGTTAAGGAGGGAACCAAGGAATTGCAGGAAGGAGCTGAGAGAAGAGAGCCTGTGAGTCTGAGGATGGACACAGTCGCTGTGTCTCCTGTAACTCTGGACTCTGGGAGGCAGCTTGGGGCATCGCCTTTTCGCCTAGTGGATGGAGGATGAGTGTCGTCTCTTCTGTAACTGGCTCGGGGGCATTACTTTTTTTTTTTTTTTTTTGCGTCGGAGTCTCACTCTGTCGCCCAGACTGGAGTGCAGTGGCCGTTCCCGGCCACCGCAGCCTCGGCCTGCTGGGCTCTGGCGATCCTTCCGCCTCAGCCTTCCGAGTAGCTGGAATTACAGGCATGCGCCACCACGCCCGGCTGATTTTTTGATTTATTGTAGAGATGAGGTCTCGCTGCCCAGGCGGGTCTCGAACCCGCGGGCTCAGGCAATCCACTCACCTCAGCCTCCCAAAGGCACGGGATTACAGGCTGAGCCACCGAGCCCGGCCTGGGGGCATTACTTTTAAAAACACACGCGCATGGAATGCCACAGGTTCTTGGCGCTCTCGCTGGTACTGTAGTAAATGATGCTCAGGGCAGTGTTTTCTTCCTGCTTTTCACTTCTGTGTGGTAGTTTTGTCCCATTAGCTCTCAATAGCTCTGTCTTGGTTTAAATCTCAACTCTGCAGTTGACTAGATGCGTAACCTTGAATCAGACTCAATCTCAGGAGACCACAGTTTCATCTCTCAAATGGCACAAGTAATCCTAACCTTATTAGGTACCAGGAGCATGAAAAGTTGACAGATTTAGAGTGTGTTAGCCTGATACCTGGCACTTAGCCTTAAGTGAATGTAAGTATCGTTGCTCATATTACTTAGTACTTTTATATAAAAAGGTATACCTTTGATCTTCCTGTTTATTGGTAGTCATATTGTTAGAAACAGACCTGTGTTAGAATTACAGCCAGTTCTGTGATTACAAATAAGTTACACTTCACACACGTAGGTGTTGGTGCACATGCAAACATGGATGTGATAAAGAAAGGCTGGGTTTCCAAGCCAGTCCACAAAAGCCACTTTATGAATGAAACCTATAGCGTTCTTGAAACATAGTCCTCATAATACTGGATTCAAAAGCCATTTGCCTTTGTTCCCAAGGGAACATGCTCCTTAAAGTTTAACCCCCTCTTCTGTGTTTGTGAGGAGGAGTATAACTTCGGAAGGGGTAGCTGGCCACATTTCTTGAGAAGCGTGGATCGGAGGTGTTAAGGAGAGTCTTGGAGATGCCAGGGCACCTGTAGCTTTGTAACTCAACGTTTGCTGTGGAGAAAGTCACTGCCTAGGGGGCAGGACCCAGGAGGGACCCTGCCCACGTCAGTCTCACTTTAGATGGCTTACATGGGAAGCTGGGGCCGGTTGCCTCCTATTCTCCCACGTTTTCTGGTTATTTAAACTTGCTGGATCTTAGTGTGGGGTCTGACTACTCTTGAAAATGTCTGTCATAATGGATTATTGGCAGCTGTTCTTCCCCCAACCCGTTTGGATTTTGGGTCTCTGTGATTAATCGTGGGCTCGGAAATGAGTGGCTTCATCATTTCCCTTCTCTTTCCGTTTGTTCCCTGTCGACGGAGGCAGTTGGTGGGGTGAGAGGCAGTTGGTGGGGTGAGAGGCCCGGAGCACCGCTGGGCCAGCTTTGTTAAGCATGCATCTTCTCGTTAGTTAGCTGCTAATAAAAGTATTTATGATAACCATTCAGAGTACTTAAGAAGTATATTTATTATTAATGGTAACGGGTTTTAGTCACTGACACAATTGCTTTGGTCATTATTTATTCTAATATGCATTTTGTGTACTGCTGCCAGGAACTTCTTTGCATGTTTAATGTATAATCACAATGTGTTAGGATTGCTTAAACATTTTCTGCAGGAAACAGATTGAGGATTTCCCCAACTCCCCTGTGCACAGATCCCATGGGATCTGTGAACCTCTCCTAGAGCCTTTTTTTCTTTTAAGCAGGATTCGGTAAGAGTCTGTCATAGGTACCTGTAGTGAGAAATATCATCAGACTTTTATTTTTATGTATTTATTTATTTTTGAGTTGGAGTCTCATTCCATTGTTCAGGCTGGAGTGCAGTGGCGTGCTCACAGCCACTCCAGCGTCAACCTGCTGGGCTCTGGTGATCCTTCCACCTCAGCCTCCCAAATAGCTGGAACTGCAGGCACGTGCTACTACACCCAGCTGATTTTTGATTTATGGTAGAGACAAGGTCTTGCCAAGTTGCCTGAGCCGGTCTCAAACCCACGGGCTTAGGCAGTCCATTCGCCTTGGCCTCCCAAAGTGCTGGGATGACAGGCTGAGCCACTGAGCCTGGCCTATTTTTATTTTTTGAGTAGGAGTCTGACTCTGTCACCTAAGCTGGAGTGCAGTGGCGAGCTCTTGGCTACGGCAGCCTTGACCTGCTGGGCTCAGGTGATTCTTCCGCCTCAGCCTTCCCAGTAGCTGGAACTATAAAGCATGCACCACTACACCTGGTTAGTTTTCTGATTTATTGTAGAGCTGAGGTCTCGCCCAGGCTGGTCTCAAACCTGTGGGCTCAGGCATTCCCCTTACCTTGGCCTCCCAAAGTGCTGGGATTATAGACTTCTACTTTTTTTTTTGTTTTTGAGTTGGAGTCTCACTCTGTCACCCAGACTGGAGTGCAGTGGCTGCTCCTGGTCACTGCAGCCTTGACCTGCTGGGCTCCAGCAGTCCTTCTGCCTTAGCCTTCCAAGTAGCCGGAACTACAGGCGCGCGCTACCACATCCGGCTAGTTTTTTGATTTATTGTTAGAGACAAGGTCTTGCCAAATTGCCCGGGTGGGTCTCGAACCTGCGGGCTCAGGCAATCCACTCATCTCAGCCTCCCAAAGCACTGGGATTATAGGCTGAGCCACCAAGCCCAGCTTAGACTTTTACTTTTAAATGATTTTAATTTGGTTTGCCAGGAGCTACAATGCATATTCCTGGGGAGCCATAGTTCTTTTTTATTTATTTTATTTTTTTCTTTTTTCTCTTTAATTTCAGCTTTTTTTTAATGATTGTTTCTCTCTTTTTTTTTTATAATCGATATTTTTTATTTTAATATTGTGGGGTACAGTTGAGGGTTAGGTATACAAATATGCTTCATTCAGCTCCCCTCCCCCTTTTAAAAATAAGATTAGAAAACATGCTTTATTTAGAAAGTAAATTAAATAAAGAAAGAGAAGATTCACTTCCCCAAAGTGGGGGAGGGGACCCAAAGCTTAAGGAAACATGGCCTGACTGTAGCTCACACCGTAACTCAGCAAGGCAATGGCGACGGTGGTCTGGCAAGAGCCCATCGCTCTTGATTATGATGATTAAAACTGCCTGACTTATAAATAAGGTGGATTCTCTTTGAAAGGGTTGGAAGTCATATTTGCCCTCAGAGGACATGCGTGCCCTAGATTCTCTCTGGATGGGAGTATTACCTGTGCATATGTTGTGATTTAAAACAGGTGGCCACGGGTCTCCTCCTTTAGCTCTCTGACGTGTCCTTTGCTCTCCCCAGGGATCTCCCCTCTGTGCCACAACCTCTTCGCCCTGTATGACGAGAGCACCAGGCTCTGGTACGCTCCGAACCACACCATCACCGTGGATGACAAGGTGTCGCTCCGGCTCCACTACCGGATGAGGTATGACAAGTGCAGGGCTGGCGCCCGCCTGGCTTTCCCTGCACCGAGGCGCAGCGGCTGGCCTGCGCCCGCGTCACTTCCCAAGACGTGTCATCGTCCTTTCGATTTGTGGCTTTCGCATTTGCTTGGTATGTGCAAGGGCTCCTGCGGGGTTTGAAGCACAATTCAAGATGAGTTTGATCACCCTCTTCGCCACATTTTAGAAAAGCAGTTGTTATGATGTAGAGGGCATCATGGTTATGAATTTCACGTAGTGGGTTGTGACCAGAATTCAAAACCAAAAAAGAAACAGGAGAGGATGGAGAATATCCTCATATATACATATCCAAAGAATATTGTTTTCTAAAAAACTTTTGAGATATGTAGTATATGTATGTGCTAGGTTGTGATACGGAATGTATTTCTTGCTAAAATTGAAGCAAAAAAGCTTGAGAAACATTACCTGAAGTGGTAGCCTAGACATTCTAGGCTCTCAAGGAGTGGCTGTTCTGACTACTCCTCGAAGATTTTTGGCTGTGGGGCTGTAAGTTTTCTTCCGATGGGTACTTACCTTTCCCCCCATAATCGCAGACTTTACTAAATGTCACAGTACCTCCCAAGGTGGCCTGGACAGTATTTGGCACTTTCATAGCTGCAGTGTCTTGAGATTGTAAGCATATTTGTTCAGTAACGACAATTGAAAGTGTGTTCGTTAGATACTTGCTAAGCACAAGTTAACATGTGTGTTTAGCAGTGGAGTTTATAAATAGGGTAGATCCTTTTTGAAAAGCAGCTTAACTTATATAGTTATCAAATCAGTAGATTAGTTCAGATGGTAATAGAGAGCAGGAACTTCTGGAGAAGCCCTCTGGAATGTCAGAGGCTCTTCACAGTATCCATAGCTGGGTTTTGAGGGGGAAGTTGGTGGGGTTGTCACCGTTCTAGAGCGACTGGGTTCTTTTTCTCAGTGGACTTTGAACCAGATCTAGCTTTCTTTGCTAAACATCTTAAGGCTGATGTTTTACTGTTCTTTCTGTACTTACTCAAAGTCTCACCTTGAAAAGAAAGCTGTGTGCCGCAGTCTGTGGCCTGGGGGTTTGGCTGTGCGATCAGCCTGTAATTGCAGCCTGAAGTCTGGAAGGAGCATGCCACCAAGTTCTAATTCTTTCCCTCTAGGTTTCTACACTCAGCTCAGAGTCTAGAATGGTAGCTCTTAGGACAGGAAGAGACCCGAGTTTACCTAATTCAGTTCTTCCATTTTTTTTCAAGTGGAAAAACTGATACCCAGAAAAGAGACGCGAATTAACCCAAAATTCCATCTGGTGAATCGTCTTGTTAGCACTAGAATTCTCACTGAGGCTGTGGTCTTGAATGTCTGGTTATTAGAAGCTATCTCTGCCGTTCCATGTTTCTGTTAGCTGCCAGGAAGTGCGTGGCTGCTTCACTTTTAGCACCTTGACTTTGTACCTGACTTTGTGCTTCAACAGGATATTGCTCTGTTACCGCAGATTCTTTGAACTTGGGGAAAGAAAAATACCACCCTAAGCTAAAACATTTGCATGACAACAAACTACAAAAATGTTGAAACCTCATAATCTCACCACTAAAGAAGGTGTAATACGAAAATAAACGTTGGTGATTATTTCAGTGGAGTCCCAGCTCTATTTTGGGAACACGCCTGTACTTCACTTATGGTTTTCTGTTTTTAGAAAATGCTTTTGATAGTTATTGTTTCATAATAGAGCTGAAAATAAGACGATCATGTTCTTTGTTTCTTTATAAGAAAAATAATTTTCTTGCTTTTTTAGCCAAATGATTTTCACTAACCATTTAAAAATTTCTGTAGAAACCTAAAGAAGATTTGTTGTGTACAATATCTATATATAAACTTAGAATATGAAGTTATCTGTAGTACAGTTTTCTCAAAAGCTTGCAGCGTGTGTCTCTGGTTGATGAGTCTGTCCACCTGTTTATCTGTTTCTCCCTTTCTCCATTTTTTCTGCTTTATTTCTCCATCTCACTCTGAAAAGGAATGTGGGCAGCTACTGCTCTACACTGGTTTATGCCAGTTTTATTTTTTTTCTATCGGCATGCTAGAATATCAGGAATTTGTGTGTACCAAGTTTGATGCGCACCTTGATAATTAATTTTTTAAAAGTATTTCATTTCTGTCTTCAATGTCTTTTCTAGTTCAGTCTTATTAGGAGGGTGTTGATTTTGGTCGTTACCCATTTAAAGTTTTGTTTTTGACATCTTACTAAATGGAAAGCTATCAGTCTTTCACTCTGGGCAATTGGTAGAGCTCCAACCTTGTTTTAGATTCTCTGGTCTTCTGTTTACCATTAGCCTTTGTTATAGTGGAGGGAGAAGCTACACATTATGTTCGGTCTCCTTGACCTTGTCCTGTTTGAACATCTGACCAAAAGGCTTCTAAGCCAAAGATGGCCCCACAGGGCTCTCAGAGAGCAGTCTAGGGTATGTCCGCGTTCAGACCCCCTCGCAGCTTGTGTTCTGCTCAGAGGGAATATGTTGGATCCCTGGATCCACCAGATGCTGGGACTCTCTCAGAGACTCAGGAGGCTGAGGAAGAAAAAGACCATGGCTTGGGTTGGCTCAGGAAACATCTGCCTTCAGGCTTCTCTCTCAAATTGCATCCTCTGACCTTGAAAGTCTTTCCTTATCTTGATAAACCTTCCATCTCACACATACTTCTCATTCTCTTGTCACCACCTTCCTCCTTCATCAAACAGAATTTACCTCTCCCGTGTGCCCTTCTGTCAGAGCCCTGCTCTGACACTTTTTAGCTGATGGAATTGGTTTACCCCTCACTTCCTGCTTATCTTGGGGAGAAGATCCCAGAGTCGAGTGCTGCTGAGTGTGTGCTCAGTTCTCCCTTCGAAGGGCAGTTCTGAGCCTGGGGGCGGCATGAATGCCAGTCTCTGTGTCCGCTGATAGTCTTAGACTTCCCCTGTGCCCAGTGCGTGATACCTGGTCACCTCTGTGGAGGGTGAGGGGACAGTACAGCAGCTTCCGAGGCCTGATGTGGTTCATGCTGCTCATGGCTCTGCAGATACGTGGTTCTTTCCATGCGTGAGAGAGATCAAAGCCCACAGTCAAACAAACATCAGTCACTTTCGTGAGTGACAGGGTAGGTGGGCTGCATAGAATCATCGAATGTGATGGAATACTGATATTCACCCTTACGGTGCTTCTTCGTGTATCCTTTCCTTTTTGTGTTCTTGCTGCTTCCCACATTTGCTCATCTCTTGTTGTTTATCTGCCAGGTAAGTGTCAGCACCTGTTCTGTGCTGGGCGCTGGGGAGCAGTGGTGAGCGGGGCACTGTGGCCTGCGTCTTCACGTGGCTCATGGCATGCCCGAGTACGGCCACAGGCATCTGCTTGTCCTTGGCCACTTTCACAGTTCATCTTCTGTGGTGCTTCCTTCCAGGGGTACTGCCACCCGTCGGCTTGGCTCTCGCTGTTTCCTCTTCCTGCTGGGTGTGGTCCAGACTCTGCAGCCTGGCGTTTATCTATTTGGGTCCCCACTTACCTTCTTGGGGCTCTTTCCCTCCTGCCATCTCCCCAGGCAGTGGGGCAACCTCCCCTTCCGTGGCACTTCACTGCAGACTCTGTGTTGTCCAGGGCCAGCTTATCCTCAGGCATAGTGCCAAGGGCCCACACTATTGCCAGGGGTGCATGAAATGTTTTAATTTCACTTAAAATCAGAAAAAAAATGAATACAGTCCAGGCTGGATTATATTCATCTTTATATCAACACAGTTGTAAAATATACCTTATAGTATGTTTTTACGGAGGAAGAGAAAAGTGTTTGGAGCCCGTGACAGAGGGCCCTTAGCCGTGCAGCTGACGGTAAGGGTGCGGTGAGCTGTGGCCAGCATTGTGTTCCAGTCAGCAGATGAATGTCTGTTTAGGAAGTGCATGGGAAGTCAGAGGAGCTCTCTGTGATCTCCGGAAAGGCGCTGCCTCTCCCTGAGTCTTCAAGGAGGTGTCGACAGGGCACTCCTCACAGAGTGCTGGTGACAATGGGAAGAAAGGGCCTTGGAGACAGGAAGGTGCCTCACAGTGTGGGCAGTCTGCTGCCTTGCTTCTCAGGGCAGATCAGCCTCCAGCACTGACCACTCTCGGTGAGCCAAGACGCCTGTCGCACGCATGCCAGGGCCCCCACGGCACAGTTGGCATCCGTCTCCCTGCCTTCCAGGTTCTATTTCACCAATTGGCACGGGACCAATGACAATGAGCAGTCGGTGTGGCGACATTCTCCAAAGAAGCAGAAGAATGGCTATGAGAAGAAAAAGGTTCCAGATGCAACTCCTCTCCTTGACGCCAACTCGCTGGAGTATCTGTTTGCCCAGGTAGGACATTTGGGCCCAAGAGGAGCTGGGGCTTGTGCGGTAGGTGCGGTGCCACAGAGCTCAGGTCCCCTGGTCCCGCTGCCTTGGTGGTTCCAGGATGCTTCGTGGCCTGCCCTGCAGGGGTTCTCGCCACACCTGGACTTGCCCCCAGTGAGGAGGCGGAAGGCCGCATTTCAGCGTCCCGCGGGACTGGCCATGCAGCTGGAGTTTCCAGGCTTCGCTTCTTTCTGCAGCCTTTCTTTTTTCCACCTCCTGTGTGCGGGGTCAGAGGGAAGCTGTAGTTGCGGGAAGGTGTCATTCAGCAGGGCTAGAGAAGGCCCTTCTCTGTCATCATCGTCATGTCTCGAGAGGAAGGAGGTGACCGCTGTGGGTCACAGCGGTGGCAGAGTAGAAAGAGTAGACGCCAGAAAATCGCCAAGAGAAGTTAGAATCGCCTGAAATTACATTATTCTGAGACACGGAGCATTTGAAAATGTCTTACTGTTCATTTTGTTTTATAAACTGCTTTTGATCATCATATGATGCAGCCCTCAGGTGTGAGTTTAAAATGCTGATCTTTGTTGTTGTTTCAGTGACTTCATAACAGTCATTTATTCGACCATTCACTCATGCTCGCCAAGGTGCTGGAGATGCTGGGCGAATGCCACAGACTCAGTCTCCGCATGGGTCAGGTGTAGAGTCAAGCGAGACAGCAAACGAGCTTGAAATGATGTGTAGGCCGTATGTAAGAAATGATGAGGAAGGCTCCGAAGGGAAGGCTTTTGTGATAGGGAAGATGAAGCAGGGGGTACCGGTGGTCTGCAGGGTAAAACCGAGTTAAAACAATGTGATCAGAGTGGTCTCTCCAAGGAGGTGACATTTATAGTAAATCTTGAAGAGTAAAAAGGAAGCTGCCATTGTAAGAGAGGAGGGGGGAAAGCATTTCTTCCACGTAGAGTTTCTCAGCCGCAGCACTGCTGACGTTTTGTGCCGATCCCTCTGTCGTGATGGACTGCCCTGTGCATGTAGGGCATCTCCCAGCATCTCTGGCCTCCACCCACTAGATCCGGTAACACTCTCCCCCTAGTCATGACACCCAGACATATCTTTGCTGTTGCTGACTGTCCCCTCACCCTGGTGAAAAGATGTGCTGTAGAGGGAGCAGGATATGGGAAGGTCCTGTTGCCGGTGGGCGAGCGGAGGGGCAGTGCCAGCACAGCGAGAGGAGGGTGGAGCGAGGCCGAAGAGGCAGGTGGGGCGGCTCACCAGGGCCTCAGATGACCTGGCAAGGGATGATGTTTGGCCACAGTGCAGTGGGAAGCCATTTGGAAGGCGGGTCTTTGCTTACGCTTTAAGTCAGTGGTGACTCTCGCTACACAGGGAGCGTAGATTGTGCTGGGTCCAAGAGCATGCTCCAGACACACCAGCTGGGAGTCTGCCGCAGCGGTCCTGGGCAGGGGAAGTGCTGGCGTGGCTGGGGGCAGTGGCGATGGCGGTGGAGAAGAACGAGCAGGTCTGCGGTTCGTTTTGGAAATATGATTTGCTCATAGGTTGGGTATGTAAGTGAGAAGATTTGATGGTTTCTAGTTTTCTATTTTGGGCAATGTTGGATAGAGAATGGAGTCATTCCTGACACCAGGAAGGCGGGGGTGGGGGGCGGGGGAGTAGGAAGGGGTAGAAAGAGACACACAGGTGGGAATTTCAGGTAGGAAACGGAGTAATGAGGCCGGAGTCCAGAGAAAGAGCCATCATGTACTTCGCTCTTCACCTGTCCTGGACTTGTCAGCTTTGGTCGAGGTTTTCCTAGAATGCTATCCATTTATAATCAGTTGGGAGCAACTGTATGCATGTGTCTGTGTACGTGTCCTGTTGATTATTTCCTTAGAATGTACTTTTATACAGGAAATTTTTGTGTCAGAATTGCATTCATCATAGGGCTTTAGTTCCTAATTGCACATGACCCTCCTTCCATGTGTACCTCAGAACTGGCTTTAGAGACTGTAGAGGAATGAGACCATGCACAGCCCCGGGTAGCCACACTGTGTGAAAAAATAAAATGAACTGGCCATTTTCAGATTGGTCTTTTAGCATTCACCATCCCGGTTGTATGTATCCATATCTGAGATTTATTCTTTATCTTTCTGGGGAGCAGAGATGTAAAGGAGGAGTGTGCCACACTTAGGAATAAACACTGCAGTAGAATCTGACCTTCTGGAGGCTCTGGAGTGAGTCACTTGAGGTAGTGAATGTTGCAGAAAGTCGTGGCCAAGCAAGACAGTTTCGGGTTTGTTCTGCTCTTCACACACTGCTAGCATAGGTTCTTGTTTCTCAGAAGCGTGTGGAACTGGTCTGTGACCTTTCCTCACCGGAGAGAAGTAAGAAGTCCCGTCGTGGAAAGAAGGGGACCTGCAGCAGTGAGGGCCCTCCATCCAAAAGCCGTTAAACTGAAGTCTCTTCAGGAAAACGTCTTCCTCGCGCTAGAACACCCCTTCCAGACTTCCTGTCTGCCCTGCTCCAAGCTGGAGAAAGGCTACAGGGTCACGTCCTTAGAGTTCAGTCAACAAAGACCAAGACCAGGGGCAGGTGTAGCACAATGTATACGACGGTAGGCCTGCTCAGATCTAGTTTAACCTCAGTCCCCCACTCGCTGAGCCCCGTGCCCCTGGGCTGTTTGTCTTTAGGCCTGACTTGGGCTTTTGGAACAACCTGATATTAGCTATTCCTCCTCATTTATCAGACCTAATCCACACTGCTTCTCGGCATCACTAAGGTGGTGAAGGCGCTTTGTATGTTTGTCCTGGTCACCAGCACTTGGCATAGTACTTGATAACTGTGTGGTAAATGAATGAATTAATCTGGGAGCCATCGCCCGAGTCCCTTCATGCCAAGCTCTACTGAGAACGGGCTTTGATGCTGGTGAAGCTATTGGTCTGACTAGTCTCATCGCTGTGCCGCTTTTCTGGGGCGCACCTCCCCATGTGGGAGGTCTTCCGCTCAAGAACAAAAACAGGGCTGGGCTCTCGACACTTAAGGAGTGGTTCATGTTGTCTCACCTCTGCTCCAAAGGGACAGTATGACTTGGTGAAATGCCTGGCTCCCATCCGAGACCCCAAGACTGAGCAGGATGGGCACGACATTGAGAACGAGTGTCTGGGGATGGCCGTCCTGGCCATCTCACACTATGCCATGATGAGGAAGATGCAGTTGCCGGAACTGCCCAAGGATATCAGGTAAAGCTTCCTGCCGGCTGCGGAATTGATGGTGGGGATGGTGGTGTTTTCACATGTTCTCCTACTTCTCACGGCTGCCAGCATTTGGCTGACTGCTGCTCACTTACAACATGCAAATCTTACTTAGAATATTTCTTACAGGTACCATAGTTATCATTGTGTCCTGATTTTGAATGGTGTCTGATAAACTCAGAAGTTTGTACTAGGGTGAAATTTCTGGACTGGGGATGCCCATCAAATTGGTACCCTCTGCGTCCCCTTCTTACCTGAGGTGGACCCATCTTCTCAGCATAGCTTTATAAAGCAGCTATTACCCTCCCCAGCCTGAACCCCCAAGGCGTTCTAGTAGTTCCCTTGAGAGCTGTTGATTCTGATGTGAGAGTTGATCAACTACCCGCTTATTTACTTAAAAATATCACTTGAGGTCCAGTCTTTGTGAATGGTCAGTTTCTGTCCATCAATGATAGAAACTGAACAATAGTTTTTTTCCCACCAGTGCGCCCTTTTGATTGTCAGAAATGGAGACTGTCTCTTTTGAAGAGGAGATTATAGCTATATGCTTCATGATAGATGGCCTGCAACTTCTTGTAAGGTTGCATCCTGTTTCTCCTTGTCCTTGACTGAGGCTGGAGCAGATCACAGGTTGTTCCTCAGTAACCCAGGGACTGACTAGACTGTGCTGAACCGCAGCTTTCTCCTTTTCTCTGTGGCCTTCTTCCTGGGTGCTTCCTCTTTATTCTTTCATGAGGCAAAAGTGAAAAACGGCAGCTCTGCTCAGATTCTGTTGCATTATATGAGTCTAAAAGAAAGAGTACAACATATTGAGGATAAACCCCAAAGTTTACCATTTTTCACTGTTGTGAAACCGTTTGTGCCCCAGGGATTACTCTGAGCCAGGTACAGTCTCAGGCCTGGGGGTAACAAGCAGATCACTCATTTCTTTGGCCTCCAGTGGGCTTGGTTTTCCTTTCATGGACGTTCAGGTTCTCCTTAGAACTGACTCCTGTTCCTGCAGTGTATCCATTTGTTGAGAGTCTGTCTGTCCTAGCTACTGTCCCATTAGCCCCTGGAGGGGTAAATAGCCTTTCAGCTTCCTTGTTGATCCTTTGAATGGGGCATCTTGGATGGGGTCACATGGAAAACACTAGGTCTTTCGTATTTAGTTAGCCTTTGTGTGTTTTCCCCACTAGCCTTTGTGCATGTTCCCCATTTTTTGGTTAAAAATGATCTTTATAGCAAAGTTATAGACCACATATGCAAGTAGGACATACAAGGCACCTGTGATCACGCCAAGAGATAATTGCCCATGACATCTTTTAGACCATTTTCTAACTGGTACTCCGTTTTATATAACTATGTGATATGTGAGTACTGATGACACAAGAATAGTGAAGCTAGCAAGCAAAATTATAGATTAGTCCATGGTGCTGCCTGCCTTTGTGACCCAGAAAATCTGATGATTCCTGTAGGAACTCCTAGTTCAGTGAGATCTGTGGAGCACGTGCTTTTTTTTTTTTTTTTCTGTCCCAGTCTCTGTTCACCTCCATCTCCTTAATCCATTAAGGTTCTCTGGGGGTAGCTCCCCTTTCCTCCTGTGTCAACACACGGCAGGAAGATTCACAAACTCAGGTCTGTTTCCCAACTGTTTTCTGTTAACCTGTATGGAAAAAGAGAGAGATATTTTTCTGCTTTCTTTTAGTTATAAGCGATATATTCCAGAAACCCTGAATAAATCCATCAGACAGAGGAACCTTCTCACCAGGATGCGGATAAATAACGTTTTCAAGGATTTCCTAAAGGAATTCAACAACAAAACCATTTGTGACAGCAGCGTGTCCACTCATGACCTGAAGGTGAAATACCTGGCTACCTTGGAGACCTTGACAAAACATTACGGTGCTGAAATATTCGAGACTTCCATGTTACTGATTTCATCAGAAAATGAGATGAATTGGTTTCATTCAAATGACAGTGGAAACCTTCTCTACTATGAAGTGATGGTGACTGGAAATCTTGGCATCCAGTGGAGGCAGAAGCCAAACGTAAGTGGCCGAGGCTGAAACGAGAGTGTCCTGTGTCACACGGTGGCTGCTGTTGACCCTGCTGGAGTCATCTGTGTGCAGGTCCCCTGTCCCATAGGCTGGTTCTATCCGGGCTAGAGACTGTATATCGTTTATCTTTTATGTTGTAGCACATAAAAGAGCACAAGGTCTCATAAGTATTTATTGAGTTCTGTAGGGAAATCAAGAAGTATAATATCCTGTAGCATGTAGTAATATAAGCATAACAGCAGACATTTACTGCATGCCTACTCTATGCCAAATACTTTTCTAAGCATTTTACAGGTATCAACTCATTTATTTCTAAAAATAAAAAACCTCTGAGGGAAGTACTGCCATTATCTCTATTTTACAGATGAACACAAAGAGGCACAGAGAAGTTGAGAAACTTGCCCAGGGCCATAACTAATATACACTTGTGCCAGGAATTGACCTGTGGCCTCTGGCTGCATGCACCTGGCTGCTTTGGCATCATGAGATGTTTGTTGGATGGGGCAACAGAGCAGAGTGGTTTAAGAGCATGGATTCTAAACCTCCCTGGACCTGGCTCAGATCCTAGCTGCGTGGCTTATGGTTAGATGGCCTTGGGAGGAGAGGGCTCTTTCACCCGGGCCGGCTGCATATTGTTCATCTGTCAAATGGAGGTTCTTACTTTATCCAGCTCACTGGGATCTTGAGAGAATGAAGTAGCATTGAACACAAAGCCTGGCATATAGTAAATGTTGAATAAATTACAGCTGCCATAACTATTACTGTAAGTAATAATATTGAAGCAAATGTGAGATTCATTTTTCTCCTATTTTAGTCTTGTGTTAAAATAACAATGCCTCACTTAGGCTTTCTGTGTGGCAGGCACTGGGTTTGCCTCATCTTGGAGAACCTTGTGAAGATGTAAGCTTTCTGTTTTATGGACGGGGAAGTAGCAGCTCAGAGGGATGACATGGCTAGTTAAGTAGCTGGCAGAGGCAGGAATTTAACGTTGACCTCTGGTCTCCAGAGCTCATGCTACACAAAATAGTCACACTTGTGCAGATATGTGTTATTCAATGTGTAGATTATTTCAAGCATGGGATTCATGTCTTCTCTAGAAAATCCCAACTTGAGTACTATTACAAAGTCAAGAGAGTTGGAGGTAGAAGGAGAAAGCTCATGTTCTGGCCAGTCCTAATCGGGAAGAATGTGTTCTCTGCCTGTATCAAAGCACACATAGTAGTTGGAGGTGAGAGGACCTGGACGTGGATGCGTATTGAATGAGCAGCTACTTCCCTGTCTGAGTTTACAAGCACGTTGTATATTATGTAAAGGGCCTAGCGAGCTCACTAAGGTCTCTTCCAGACGTGGAAGCCCAAGATTCCCTGGGGGAACCCAGCCCTTTAGTCCTCAGCCCGCAGGCACCAGCTCCCCAAGCCCCTCTGCAAGTCTCCTCCTTGGACCTAGGCCCTGCCTTGGTTTGCCAAAAGCACTGGCCTTTTACCAATAGAAAATGAGAAGGCAAACTTAATGTTGTCACTTATGTGCATCTTATCAGGTTGTTCCTGTTGAAAAGGAAAAAAAACTGAAGCGGAAAAAACTGGAAAACAAACACAAGAAGGATGAGGAGAAAAACAAAATCCGGGAAGAGTGGAACAACTTTTCTTACTTCCCTGAAATCACTCACATTGTCATAAAGGAGTCTGTGGTCAGCATTAACAAGCAGGACAACAAAAAAATGGTACGTTCACTCCAGAAGCTCTGTAGTCTGGATCTGGAGGCACGAGGGAATGTTGCTGAAGACGGTTACCCAGCATGTGGTTTTCTGAGTTCCTGTCTCAAAGACAAAATCTAATGATTTTCTTCCTTTGGCCAAAAAGTCCCTATTGCTGAGGCATTAGCAATGTCAGTTTTTAAGTTACACTTGTGCACTCCAGGGCCTTTCTTTGGTCTTCAAGTGTGAATCTGCCTTTGGGTTTGCTGCCCTTTCAAAGATAGTTTGGCATCAGTATTTAATTCACAAAACTAGCGGAGTTGAAGGAAAAGATCAGCGAATGTTAGCCCTTTCCCCAGGGGCTCCTACGAGGCCTCTCCGCTGAGCTGGGTGGGTCACTTGGAAATAAATGGGTGGGGCACCCACTTTGAACTTCAGCAGGCTGTCAGGCGAGTGGCGGCCACAGTGGCAGTGCGCCCCATGGTGTCAGGCACACCCAAGTGACTCTCGGACAGAGGAGAGGGTGTCCAGTCTCATGTCTCACTTCCTCTTTGTTGGTGTCACATGAGGACATAATGTAGACAAGCAGGCCAGTTTGTCAGGGGAAGTGGGAACTCTGCCAAAATAAACCTGTTTGTGTCAGGAGAAGTCACAGCTGACAACACGCGGGGAACATGGCTGGTGAGACAGAGTGCTCTCCTGTGAGAGGGCCAACATAAGAAAGGCCACATTCTGCCTAAAATGTGGCAAGTGATATATCAAATGAGAGCGCTCAGTGCTGAGAAAGAGCCAGGTGGCATGGTTCAGGACAGATAGTCCTGCTCTTATATCCAGGCTGACTTGTCTTTTTGGCATAACCTCTTGGAGAGCAGTTTGGCAGCATGCGTTAACAGCCTCAGAAATATTATATGTCCCTCTGTTCAGGAATCTAGGGACTCTATCTTCCAGAAACAATGTGAGAGGCAGGTAATGGGTTATGAATAAGGATGTTCACTCCAGTGGTATCACAGGGTCAAAATACTGAAAATAACCCAATTATACAGTAATAGAGAATGGGAAAATAAATCACAATTCATGTGAGTGGAATATTATGCAACCAAATTGCTGAATTTTTTGATGATGTGGAAGAAAGCTTTTATGAATGCAAAAAAAAGTAGAATGTAAAACCTTACCTATAGAAAGGTGTCAGACAATTTTGTTCCAAAAATTTTAATAGGTATGCATGTACATACACATGCTCTTGGGAAAATAACCAGATATTAACAGCTGTTTATTTATTGGTAGCATTATGAGTGGTTTTAATTTTCTTATCCTCCTTTTTATTTTTCCCAAAAAAATACAGTAATGTTATCAGAAAAGTAGTGAAAACAAAGTCCAGAAGAACCCTGACAGCTGTTAGTGGACAGGTAGAAGATGGAAGGAGGGAACGATGAGTGCTCTTTGTTGAGTGTATCGTGACTGTTAGGTCCTGTGTTATATGGTGTGCCTGCATTATCTTGCTTAGTCCCTACGGGAACCTTGGCTGAAGGAATATCGGCACGATTGCGGGTGGGGAACCTGAGACTAGTCAAGAGGCGTCGAAACTTGTGCAGGGTCGGCTTACGGGAGGAGGCGGCAGACACTTGCCCAGTTCCGTCTGGCTCCCGTCTGCGCTCTTTGCCTGTGCTGCTTTGGTTCCTGCGGCATCAGCATGCCCCAGCGACCTGAGGGGCATGAGGGAGAGGCTGGCGTGTTCATGGTCTTGCTTTTCAGCATAGCCAGGTGCTTAGATTGCGGGCAGAGGAAGAGAAGTCCCAGACGCTGGTGCACATGCTGCGAACCTGCCCCATCCTGTCCTGGCTGAGAGTCATGTCTGGCACCTGGCTGGTGCCCAGTCCTCTAAGTCAGAGCTTGCCTTGGCCACATGGGTGGCAACGCTGTGCCAAGCTGCGGTGTCGTGTAGGCAGCAGGAGGAAGCCTGGAAGAAAGACTTGATCTCCCCAGGCCTCTGTTTTCCTTTACAAACACTAGGCCTTCCTGCATGGCAGGCGCTTCCTATGTTGAGCTCTTTGCAAATGTCAATGTTTAAGTTTCTTATCCACCCTATGGGTCTCTCATCAACCCGTTTTACAGGAGGAAACTGAGGCACAAAGAGGTTGAGTAACCTGCCCGAGGTCACAGTTGTTAGGTTAAATCTTCTGAAACTGCCAATATTTGACAATTTTTATCTGACAAAGATGTTGACTACATGCGCTTAGACCTACTAGCAGGTGGAAATGCTGCGATTCGAACCCAGAGTAGCCGACTCCGGAGCCTGGGGCCAGCTACCCTCGATGCTGCCTCTTTAGCGTCTCACTCTGTGTCATCCCCTCCCAGCCTCAGATTTCCAAGGCCTGTGATCGGGCAGTCATGTGGCTGCCAGTCTTTCAGGAAAGCGTGGTGCCAGTGTGCCATCAGGTCAGACCTGGCTTGTCACTTCTCTCTGCCTCTCCCTGGCTTCTCCCATTTCTGTGTAGCCTTCTGCTCTCAGGGAACCTCAGTGCTCATTTAGCCTTGCTTATAGCACGTGGCGGGGTGAGGGGCAGCCCCACCCAGCCCTGCTCTTGTTCCAGAGTGTCTTGAATTTGTTCTCTAGGGTACCTGTACGGGGGTGCCAGGCCACACCACAGGGCAGCATACTGAGCTCAGAGGCTCCTTCCCATGGTGCCCTCTCTGCGGTGACCTGCCCTCTCTTGGCCTCCTTGGCTCACAGTCCCAGGGCATATTTCCTTTGGCATTGCAGCTGTCACCAGGTCCCTCACATACCTCCTGCCTGGTGGCTTGTGTCCACTCACTCCCTTTCCCCCTCACTGGTGATACCACCAGCCTCTCCTTCCTCCAGGTCCGTGGGAAGAACCTTATTCTCCAGTGTCATTTTGCCCTTCCCTGAAGGCTCAGGTGCTTTCTTATATTTTTGTGAGTCAGAGCTCTAAATCACAGCTTTGTATGCCTCCTCTCCCCGGGACATGTTTTTGGTTGACCCCATGGCTTCTCTCAAACGGCCAGTCTCTGCTAGGGATCTGGGATCAAGACAGAAAACCCCATGCCTTCACCAGAAGTGTTTTTCTGAGGCCTTTCCTTCGTGGAAATTCCCTCCCTCTTCCCACTCTGAGTGAGACTCTACTTCCTTCAAACCCTCCCAGGTCCCTGGGCTTCATCTAGCAACCTCATTGTTGTGTCTGGGACAATTCCTGGGTTACAATCCGGGAGTTTCACCTTCCATACCAACCCTGCCATGAGATGGCGCGCCCGTGCCTCTGTTTCCTTTTCTTCCAAGCAGGACTCCTGCTGACTCGGGGTCATTGTTTAGTGCCAAGACCAGGGTGCCCGTTCCGCTCCTGCCATTCCACTTTGGGCCTCCGCCACCTTGATCCAGGTTGTGCTTCTCCTGTCTGGACCCGAGGCTCAGCGTCTCCACTGGTCTCCTTGCCTGCTGCAGCCCCCCCGCACCCCCACCCATGCCACACGCACACATACCGTGCCTCGCCTGATAGTTCTGAGCTAATAGGTAATTGACCAGTAAAAGGCCTGTGTACCTGCGAGGGGGCGGTTAGTATCAACACAGGGATTTTCCCTTTGGGCTTGGCATGGTGTTTCCGGAATCTTCTCCCAGCACCGCCCTACACGGACAGCTGCTAGAGGTGATAGACACGGGCTGTAACCCTGGGGATTTCTTCTCTCTCCCCAGGAACTGAAGCTGTCTTCCCACGAGGAGGCCTTGTCCTTCGTGTCCCTGGTAGACGGCTACTTCCGGCTCACTGCAGATGCCCATCATTACCTCTGCACAGACGTGGCCCCCCCGTTGATTGTCCACAACATACAGAACGGCTGTCACGGTCCAATCTGGTGGGTTCCAGAGGCTTTCACTTGCCTTTCTTTTTCTTTTTTTTTTTGAGTTGGAGTCTCACTCTGTTGCCCAGACTGGAGTGCAGTGGCTGCTCCCGGCCACCGCAGCCTCGACCTGCTGGGCTCCGGCGTTCCTTCCGCCTCAGCCTTCCAAGTAGCTGGAATTGCAGGCATGCGCTACCACGCCCGGCTGATTTTTTGATTTATTGTAGAGATGAGGTCCCGCCTGCTCAGGCGGGTCTCCAACCCACGGGCTCAGACAATCCACTCACCTCAGCCTCCCAAAGGTGCGGGATTACAGGCTGAGCCAATGAGCCCGGCTCTCACTTGCCTTTCATTTGTGGAGAGAGCTCTCGTTTTAGCGGCGGGGCAGGCAGCCTCTTCAGACGCGGATGTTGTCAGTCGTATAGGTTGGGGCCAGTTGACCGTGCTGGCTCACACGTGCTGGGCGTCATGCGCCCCCCCCCCTTGCTGCAGCTCCCTGACCCTTCTCCCCTCCTCGCCTTTCCTAGCCGACTGAGAGGTGCTACCCTTCCCAGTGCCTGCTATGGCAGACACTGTGTATGACTCAAGAGAGACAGGGAGCAGCTGGATATGGGGCCATCGCCTGCAGTCCCAACCACTTGGGAGGCTAAGCCCAGGGGCTCCTTTCAGCCCAGCAGTTCAAGTCCGACCATGGCATCATAGCAAGCACCCCGTCCCTAAAAAACAATCTGTTGTTTTCAAAGGAAGGCTCCAGGTCTCAGCATCAGTGTAGTCAACAGGATCCTCACTCAGCATGTCCTAGGGTGCCAGATGAGTGAGTGGTGGAGACCATGATGCTGACTTGGCCTTGGGACCCTCAGGGCCTCTGTGGGATGTCGGGTTTCCCCTGCATCTCAGGGCTGGTAGCCTGTGGTCAAACCCCCCGGTGCTGGGACACTTAGCAAGGCATGAGGCAGCCCATAGCTTGATTACAGCTCTCACGATGACAGATGTTCAGAGCTTTCGGGTACGGAGCTGTGGATGGCCTCTCTGTGACTTCTGCCTCCCCATTTGAGGGCTCTTTTGGCAGCACCAGGGATCCCGTTGAGTTCCTCTTACATATGACTGGCTTGCAGGCAAAGGAAAGCCGCTACTGGGTCTGCTGCAAGCCTCTCTTTCCAGAACAAAGCGTATCTAGGGAATCCTCTCTCCAGCTGTCTTCCCTGTGACATGCTTTTCCCCTTTCGTCCCTGTCCTGGCTGCCTGTGGACAGGTGGCTTGGTGGTGGTGTGGCCCCTGGCCTGGAGAGACTCACAGACTCACACCTAGGATTGCAGAGCAAGGGCTTGGACATTCGAAGGGCATCTCCCTCCAGTGTCCCAACCACAGCTGTGCTCCAAGCCCTGGCGCTTGCTTCTCCCTTGGCCGGGAAGCCCTTTCGTCCAGAGTCTGCACGGCCCACTTCCTTCAGGTGTTAGTCAGATGCCACCTTATCCGTGAAGTCTTCCCTGACCACCCCTTCCTCCTCTCTAGCCTATGCTCTCTGCCGCTTCACTCTACCTTTCTTTTCCTCAGTGGCAGTCATTTCCTCCTGGCATGCCATGTGTTTACACAGCAGAACATTTTTGCTAGTCTGCCTGCCTTGATCTCCTAGAACATGAGGCTCATAGGGGCAGCGGGCAGCCTCTGTCTTGGGTGCCTCATTCACTCCCTTCCTCAGTGTGGAAGGCTGGCATGTCGTGGGCCCTCTGGGCGTATCTATTGAATGGACAGATATCTTATATTTGGGGGAGGCTGACGCTCACTGCCTAAGCAACCTTCTCAGGGTGGGCAGCCTTTCAATCATGTTAAATGTTGAGGAATAAGGGTGCCTGGACGATGCATATTTGTATACCTAACCCTTAACTGTACCCCACAATTTTAAAATCAAAAATATGTTTAAAAACAAAAACAAAAACAAAAAGCATTGAGGAATCAGTGGCGGCAAGCCAGGTCTTAAAGAGGGAAGAGCACACCCGGTGAGGGGTCAGCGTGTGCAGGGCAGAGATGGGTCAGAGACCACAGGGCAGCTGGAAAGTTCTCCGCGTCTCTGTCTCTCTCAAACGTGTGGCCCACGCGAGCCCTCTCTCACCAGCGCTCAACACTGGCACGCGCTGGTTGCTCGTGACCATCACATGGACTCAGCTAGTGCTCGCTGTCCTCGGTGTGTCAGGACTCACTGCCCTGGGCACACAAAGAAGTGCAAGACAGGCCTGTTCCCTACTGATATCTTTCTCAGCCTCATCCATGTATTCATCCAAGGTGTTATTTATTGAGTGCCTACTGTGAGCTTTGAAGATATAACAGTAAACAAAACAGCCTCAAATTGCTGCTCCCATGAGCCTCGCACTCTGGTGGGGTTGCCTGGGGCGGAGGGGAGGGGAGGAAGGGTGTGATCCACCCCCCCACCCCCAC